CTTCGATGAAATCTGGACAGCAGAAATAGCTCGAACTACGCCTCAGGGATAGCTGTATCTGCACACACGGTGCAGGGAGTAAAGTGAGTACTCCGACTAAGTGAGCAATAGCAATAAATAATGACTGACGGAAACAAAATCTCGTAAAAAGCACTAAGAAGTTCTATATCGAAGCAATAGGGACATTTAAACAGCAACTGAATGAAGAAATCAGGCAAAAATCCTTTGTGCCACTACTCAACTCATTTATTCCTCACGATAATCGAAATCATAATTATACTGCTGCAGCGTGCAGCCTGATAATATATATATATATATATATATATATATATATATACCGCTGCGGTGTGCAGCCCGATCCATATAAGTATCGCTGCGGCATGCAGCCCGATCCATATATAACTCTCACATCCAGGCCCTCGGCCTCATATCACTCAGTGTATCCTCACATCTGGCCCTCGGCCTCACTCAGTCAGAATAGCATCACAAGCCCCTAGGGCATTAGTAAAACAGTAGTTCTCAGCCCAAATTATCATTTAAAATATCATTTAAGACTCAAATTGAGTAAAAGTGGCTGAGTTGTAAAATAGTGGAGAAACAGTATGACTGAGTTCAAGTAATAAGTCAAAACAATGAGGAAATAGTGAAAATAATCCCCGAAGGATTCAAATAGTTGGCACGAAGCTCAAATATGGCAATCAGCCCAAACAACTGTGATAACAAATAAATTCCAGTCAAATACGCAGTAAAATCATCAATCGGGACGGACCAAGTCACAATCCCAAGCGGTGCTCTACCCCTCGCCTACTATCCGGCGTGTAAGTCACCTCAATATAGCACTACGATGTGCAATCCGGGGTTTCAAACCCTCAGGATATCATTTACAATCATTACTCACCTCGATCCGGTCCAAACTCTAGCCCGCGATGCCTCGCCCGCACGAATCGACCTCCGGATGATCCAAATCTAGCCACAATCAGTACATAATCATTAAATTATGCCAAGGGAGCGAAGCCCACTCGAAAATATCCAATTTAATATCACAATCCCGAAATTGCTCAAACCCGGCCCCCGGGCCCACGCTTCGGAATTCGACGAAACTCATAAAATCCGACAACCCATTCAACCACGAGTCCAACCATACCAAAATTACTAAATTCCGATAACAATTCTGCCTCCAAATCTTCAAATCATATTTTTAAATCCCTAGGTCCAAATCCCCAATTTACACCTCAAAAACATGTAATCTAGTCGGATTATTCGATGATAATTCAATATTATGAAGTAGAAATAATCACAAGTGACTTACCTCAAGATTTCCCATGATTTCTTGCTCAAAAATCGCTCCAAGTCGTGTTCTTTCACCAAAAAAAAAAGGTCAAAAATGAGCAGAAAACGCAGCAGCTTTATTAAGCCTATTCTGGTCGCTAAAAGCCAGATCTGGTCGCTAAAAGGTGCACACCAGATCTGATGCACCAGCAATCTTTAATTTCACTAAAAAGGCTCTAACTCCATCATACAAACTCAGAATTCGATGATTCTTGTTCCTATGAGTCACAAATAATGATACGAACATAGTCCTTCAATCGAAACTCAATTCGGAGCTCGTTTGCTCAGTGCGATATCTATTTTGCTCGTTAAACAATTAACTCATGATTCGCGTCAAAAACCCAATAGCGACTTGATGAAATTAGACCAAACTTTCCAGATCACTCCTATAATTCATTATCAAAATTTCGGAAGTCTCAAAATCAAATTTCGATCTCTAGAACTAAAAATGGACCTTTGGATCATTACAAGCTTATAATCAAAACGCCAAAAATCTTTCAAAAACTCTTCCAAAACATATCCGAGCCTCATGGGACCCCGACCAAACATGCCAACATAACCCATAACAAAATTCAAACTTGTTCCAACCTTCGGTACGCTCAAAACAACATCAAAACATCAAATCACCCTCGGATTCAAGCCTAAGAATTCCAAAACTTCCGAAATCCGAATTGGATCAAAAAGTCGACCAAACGACGTCCAAATGACCTGAAATTTTTCACACACATCACAAATGACATAACGAAGCTACAGCAACTTTCGGAATTCCATTCCGACCCTCGGATCAAAATCTCACCCATCAACCGGAATTCGCCAAAATATTAACTTTGCCAATTTAAGCCAAATTCCACACCGGACCTCCAAAACCAATTCCGATCGCGCTCCTAAGTCATACATCACCTAATGGAGCTAGCCAAATCATAAAAATTCCGATCCGAGCTCATGTACACATAAGTCAACTCTTGGTCAAACCTTTCAAATTCAAAGCTTTCAACTGAGACTATTCTTTCAAATTCATTCCGATTTTTCCTGAAACCAAGAGCAACGATCCACATCAGTCATAATGCATAACACGAGGCAAGTCATGTCCGGGAACTGGAGATCAAAGTGCAAAAGCTCAAAACGACCGGTTGGGTCGTTACACCTCGATTTAAATTCAGTAGACTGTGGCAACGTAGAGTTTATCCATATCTTTGTCTGAAATCAACAGCTACGCACAGAGTAATTGCCTATGTATGAAATGAAAAGATAGTAGTGAATCTGACCGGCAGCTGACTTAAAAAGCACTTTTAAAAATGGCCTAAACTTGAAGTAGCACTTGGCGTCGAAGGTCATACTGAGTATTGTTAATAAATATTGTAGACATAAAAATATTTAAACACTAAGACGGGAAAAACATGTAATATACAGTAAACCTCGATATTTATGAGGTTTCATATGCTGAAAAACAATAATCAACGGCTCATCGGTCGATTCATTCAAGTAATGTTGAATTTGATCCACATGTTCGCTCCATAAGGTTGTCACAATCATGTTCCTCCTATACGTTGCATAGTAAGGTTAATATAGACATATATAGGTAAGCTATCCATAAAAAAGTATTTAAATTTTTCAATTACTTATTGATCATCTTCGAGTACAATATTAATAAACACACTTTCGTCGTCTCCTTGCTTGTAGGTCTTAACATCTTCACAGGTGACAACCTGACCAACAACATCTATATATATATATATATATATATATATATATATATATATATATAGAGAGAGAGAGAGAGAGAGAGAGAGAGAGAGAGAGANCTCTCTCTGAGTGATGGGGAGAAACTTCTCCAGAAATAGCTGAGTAAATTGCTCCCAAGTCAAAGCTGGTGATCCGGCTAGTCTAGCCAAGCAATAATCTCCCCCCAAGTCTTGGCGGATCCAGACAAGTAAAAAGCGGCAAAATTGACCCCATTGGTCTCAACTATCCCCATGTTCCTGAGAACCTCATGACAGCTGTCTAGATAATCCTGGGGATCCTCAGAAGATGCACCGCTGAAAGTAGTAGTAAAGAGCTTGGTGAAACCTATCCAACCTCCACAAGGCCTCCGAAGACGTAGCTGATCTATCACCGGTTTGTGCTGCTGTCCGGCTGAAGAAGCGGTACGTGACCTCGCCATTCGCGAAAGGACAAGAGTAGGGGTTTCAATTTAGCACTGAGAGAACAAAATCGCACGACAGGAAAGAATCATATGGAGCGTCTTCCCAATTACCAAGCACGGCATCTTAGCCACTGAATTTCACACCAAGATTGCTGGTATATTCACAAGTCTTCATCACGTTGTTCTGAGCAAACTGCTTCTAGGTTTCTCTGCCGGCTCATTCTCACGATCAATCATACCCACCATATGCGTCTCATTGTGCACAGGAGATGGATCTTGGCCAGTGTTTGTTGCATCTGGATTTTGCACGACGATGTCGCCTGCATCAATAAGCTTTTGAATTGCATTCTTCAGATTCCAACATTTCTNTCTCCTTGCTTGTAGGTCTTAACATCTTCATAGGTGACAACCTGACCAACAATATATATATATATATATATATATATATATATATATATATATATATAGAGAGAGAGAGAGAGAGAGAGAGAGAGAGAGAGAGATAAAAGTGAGTAACATAATTTTACCAATACCATTAATTTGTTACAAATGAAAAGAAGAATTACCACATAATTCTGTGTCATCGACATCTTGTTGATTTGTTAGTTGGTCAAAAGGGCGCAAGTTAAAGATGTTCATATGAAATGAAGGATCATTTGTTTCCTCAACAAATGTCTTTTGAGTAAATGTTAGCCTCAGGTGGTGTGTCGTAGTCCTCAACTTCAGATTATTTGGTCCGATGACAAAGTAGTTCATACGATATAAGCGAAGTTCATGTATCTTGTTCCTAAAAAACTTGAGAACATACTTTCCGATTGAAGCATGTATACGATCACCCTACAAAATCAGATTCATTATTAGCGCGCAATTTTAAGCTTGTATATAGCGGAGATCACTGCCTAAAATTATCCTACCTATTTCATATGAAAAAGCAGAATGCTATATAGAGATTTTATGCAACTTAAGTGAAGTTATCGTAAAGATTTTATATCAAAAGCCAAAATGCTATATAGAGAAAGTAAAGGCAAAACTACGAAATATGAAGCCATTCTGCCGAACTTGAACGTATAAGTATATCGACAATAGCAGTCGCATATAAGTTTTATATATATGAATGTTTACGCTATTTTATGAATGATGTATCAGAATGTCCACATGACAGTCTTTTTGAATGAGGTGTGCGTAGCATCCTCAACGAATGAAATTGGTGGAGGGCAACTCGCTACATTCTGTGTAAATGGTGAGAGGGCAAAGTGTTACTGACAGACCAGGCATTTTCTACCCTCAATGAGCTCAGAAAAGAAGCGCGAAAGCGCCATTGCAGAGGTATTGAAGAATCAAGTAGAAGAAAAAGAGATGTAGTGGAATAATAGTACTCAAGTTTAGGGATGTGTATGTGGGATTGCAATCATAGTAAGAACACGTTTATATAGACAAGAAAAAATACCACTACTACTACCATTTTGATCTTCGGTACTGCTATGATTTCATTTCACAGAATCTCCATCTCTGTCTCAAGTTCTAAAACCAGAATAAAATGTAAAGAATCTCCATCTCTGTCTCAAGTTCTAAAACCAGAAAAATGTAAGTATATCGACAACAGCAGTCGCATATTAATCTAACAGCTATAATTCTTGAATTTGCACATCTCAATTCAGATAGCTACATCAGTGATAAATATAAGTTTTATGAACAATCAATAAGAACCAAAATGCTACAACAGTTATGCGTAAAGATGAAAAAATATTCGACACTTAGGAGGCTGCCACAAAACAGATGAATCTAGGAACATCAGCTTCATCAACTTTCTCATAGTGCTGGATTAATGTGACTTATATGCGATTGATGTAGTTGCCCAAGTCCTCCTTATATAGGATGCGACAACATTAATAAGTTTGGAAGTATGACAAAGTTTGATATGTTACCTTAGAATCCTGTAAAACCAATTCAATTGAATATGGTATTTCCGGCTTAAAGCGATCCGGCATTACCCACATTCGAACGACTCTAACTTTAAGGTTCCATTGCATTGAGTTGCCTGAAATTTGTTTGATATCATGAATTTGTGTCGCCATATTTGCAAAGTCAATTAATCAGAATGGTATATTAAGCAGATAAAATATGAAGTTGAAAAGGTTTTAAAAATGTAAAGCACATAAATCCGATATATATAGATGTGCAGATAAAATATGGTTTTTTTTGAATTGGAAGCCCGCGTTTGGGAGGTAAATCAATGGTGGGATAATGGAGAGGTTTTTGGAGCAGCACCAGTAAGGCAGTTTTTCGAAATTGCATTACATATACATTAAGGGATAATGCGGACGTTTTTGGGACCGTAGCAGTAAGGCAAAACGTGGGAATTACCTGTGAGTGTGGGAGTAATGGATCCCATAAATTGAGGGAGTAATGGATCCCATAAACGTGGGAATTACTTGTGAGTGTGGGAGTAATGGATCCCATAAATTGAGGGAGTAATGGATCCCATATTTCTGTCATTTTTTACCGTGTAATGTCCTATATTTCAGTTGCATGTATGCAGGTGGTTGTGTGGACGTGCAAGCGAAATGGGGGGATGGGAGTGGGTACGTGATTTAGAGGATTCAATTAGGTTTTTCTCTATTTTGTTATTATTTGTTTTAAACATTTTTTTATACATAATAATATTTTCAAACTCCAAAACTTTTGGAGCTTTGTCCTAAAGGAGTGGCACTTGGCTAATTGTTGTTGTGCCACTTGGCACAATAATATGGCTTTGCTTCTCCTATTCTATATAGATAGATTATTATTATTATTATTATTATTATTATTATTATTATTATTATTATTGTTATTATTATTATTATTAGTATACTGCGTACAGGTTATTGTAAGTGACCCGCCTTAGCATCATCACTACTTTGTCGAGGTTAGGCTCGGCACTTACAGAGTACATGGGGTTGGTTGTACTCATGCTACACTCTGCACTTGTGCATATTTTGGAGTTGGTCCTAGCGGCGGTTAATAGATTGCTCGGATCCAGTGCTTGACAGAGACTTGAGGTACAGCTGCACAGCATTCGCAGTCCTGAAGTCCCCTTCTACATTGTCTTAGCTGTTTATTTCGATTCAGATAGTTATGCTTTCACTCATACTATTTTTCGTAATACTCTACGCGCTCGTGTATTCGTGACGCCAGCTCTAGAATTTGTACTTGGATATCGCCGTTTATCAGTTTTATCTACTTTATTCTAGTTTATTCAGCTTATTAGTTTTCATTTGATTTGAATTATTAAAAATGGTTAATAATTACTTCTTGCGTCGGCTTGCCTAGCAAGTGAAATGTTAGGCGTCATCACGGTCCGAGGATGGAAACTCCGGATCGTGACACTAAAGGGTACAACTTGTTTATTATTATATTCCCAAGTCCAGTTATTTTACCTTTTAAATAATACCCAACTAATTTAGAATAGATTTCAACAGCAACAACTGAAAAATAGGATCTTGTTCTTTAAATGAGTTTTAAAAGTAGGTGCATATTCAAATTTAATTCATATTTTCTAATTGGTAATATCCCTCCGTTTTAATTTAGATAATATAGTTTGACTTGACATGGAGCTTAAGGAAAGACTTTTAAAACTTGTGATCTTAAAAGCTATGTGGGACCATAATATTTGTGTGGCCATAAAAGTTTGTCATTAAGGGTAAAATGAAAAGTTTAAAGTTAAATTATTTTCCAATTATAGAAATGTATCATTCTTTTTGGGTGCCATCTAAATTGAAACGGAGGGAGTAGTGACGAATGGGATAGCATTATAATACCTAATACACCAATTTTAACCTTTAAAATAATGCACATAGGAATGTCATATGAATAAAAGTCTTTTGTGATAGAAGTCAAATATAGGATGTGTAGATAAAGCCAATTTAGCATATGTAAAACAACTGATAAATGTATACACGATACTCTCCACATCAACCCTGTAGTCTGCATAGTTAGAGCCAGATTAGCTGTTGAGCTATGCTCTTTCTAAGAGAAATACATGATCATAAATTAGTCTTATCCAAGATATTCAACATGCCAAGATCACAGAAATTTAAGGTAGAATAAACTATTCTGAGCCAAGAAACAGACAAGTGACAGGTCTTAAGAGAATTGTAAAGTAACCAAACAAGATAGAGCTAGACCCCTTGGCCTTGAGAATTAGCGAAAAAACAAGTCTATCTTGTGATATGCGCGATGAAAGAATCCAACTGAATTCGAGAAGCTCCCCCTTTCTCTGTGGACTGCCTTACGGCTTCTCCCAATTCTTCTGCTTTTTTCTAATTTCATCGCCTTCTTCTGATGCCATTAACTTCCTAACAACATTCTAAATGGTGGATGCACGAACCAACTCCTTGCGTTTCTCCCACTCCCTAAAAAAGTAGGCCTATTTTCAGTATTTCCGTCACCAAAAAACCATTTTTTGGTTGGTCAGAGTGCATAGGCCAAGCAGCTATTGGCACTCCCATAGTAATACTCTCTATACAAGAATTCCATCCACAATGACTCATGAACCCCCCAGTCAATGAATGAGTCCAGATTTCTAGTTGTGGTGCCCATTCTCTGACCACTAAGCTACTTCTCTTACCCTTTCCTCATACCCTTCTGGCAACTCAACTTTTCTAGCTTCCTCAGTAAAGATATCTCCTCTATCGGCATCTCTCAGCACCCATATAAACCTCTGTTTGCTCTGTTCTAATCCCATCGCGAGCTACTTGATTTCCCTATCAGAAAATGAAGAAGTTGTTCCAAAAGATATGCTATAAAGAATAGATCTTGGAGATTGTTTGTTAAGCCACTCCAAACATATATTGTTCATATTTGAGACACGATCAAGTTTAGTAGGCAGAACTGATCCAATTGCCCATTGTTTCTTGATCATTTTGATATTTTGTTATCAATTTGATAACACGAGAAGACAAGATCCTTAATAATCTAGTGATCACAGCATCAAAGGAAATCCTTGGACAAATTTACATTCTTTGAAGGAGTTGGATAGTCATCAACCCTTCTTAATGAGGAACTCTGAAACTGACTATGAGTTAAGATATGAGTATTCCAGTGACTACTCCAAACTACGTACTTTCTTGAAGATAATAACATGTCAAACCCAGAAACAAGATCCTCCGGACTTGGCTGAGACTGTCCTGAACTAGGATGTACTACTTCCAATATTCCCAATACCACTTTGCAAAGCAATGAATGTCTTAGTCCATCCTTGTCTTGAATAGCAGTTTGGAGACAATCAAGAGCAGAAAATTGAACTCCATGACAATAACTTGATTGAACAAAACTATTAGAAATTTTGTCAATAATTTTCCTTTAAAGCTCCATGGCAATAACCGACCCTCTTACAGAGTTCCCATTGCACTTTTTATCAATGGTTTTGCAATTAGAAGAAAAGAGTGAAACTTCGTTTGCAAAAAATATGAATTGCCTCAACTTGAATTGATGATTCTAGTGCAGCTAAACCAGATACAAGCCTGTCCATTTCAACTTTATGCATCTTATGATCTTGATTGATTCGTACCAAGTCACCATTAGTATTACCAAATAACTGAGCTCTTTCTTTATTTTTATTGCCTGAAACCCCACTCATTCGCTCAGGAGTTATCAGACTTTGAACTTCAGTTTTGTTATGATGTGGTGTACTTGAGCTCGAGCTTTCAACTGGATGCTGGTAATGATATTCAAGTCTGCACCTTTTCGCGTTCAGCATGTTGGGCACCATGGTTAATTCTGGTGAAATAGGGTACAAAAATATGAGAAGAAAGGATAAATTCCTACTATGAACATATAAGAGTCTGCTCTACAGGTTTCTTGGACAGAGGAAAAGATACCACTTGCGGAATGAACACTAGCAAACAATATGGCACTGCAAAAAGTAAAGGATTTATTAAGACACTTATATAGTAGTATGGAATTAAGCACAAGTCCCACAAGAAATAGGGAAGTCAGAAACCTTTTTCCGGAAGTTAAAATCTTGAACTTGAACCGACATGGAACTAAATGCTTTTCCTATTGAGGACAACAAAGTTAGAATAGATAACTTCCAAATTTGTCAAACTTGCTATGAACTAGAACTTGTGTCAGTATTTTGATTGTCGTAGTTTGACCAGGCACTTTTATTATCACAATTAGGATCGTAACGTTTCCGAGCAATGGAGTTTCAATACCCATTAGGTGGTGGAGTTTGGTAAAATCTTGGTCATTCAACCACCAAAACCAAAGCCATTGCAGGAACCAGCATGCTGTGACAGGTGATGTTTGCGTTAATTTCGATTTCATTCTCCACTAGCGGCCAGAGGTGTCTTTTCTAATGTGGAAGCATAGGTGTCTTGCTATTGGAGTCAGGCCTATACGATGTTATCTTTTTTGTAGTAAGTTGATGAAGTAGATACATCTTTTCGTTCAATTTCAGTAACTTCATTTATTTCATGTTCACCTTCCATCGTTCACATAATTAAAGTGCTAACCATCAGCCGCGTGGTACAGCCTATGATTAAAGGTAGCAATTGTGTGGCAGCTTTTGACTCGTACCATCGTCCCACTTTAACTTGAAACAGAAATAAGAGAACTAAGCACAATTACTCTGATATGCTAGAACATAGCAAAGCTAAACATTTGTGCTCTGCAACACAGAGAATAACATTTCCTGCTTTCACAACATGAAAGACTTGATGTAAAACATCCCGCTAAAGGGGCACACAGTTACTCGGATCTTATATTCATCTGATGTAACTATAATCTGAACAGTCATCTGTCAAAATCTGAACCACTGCCTTTGTATACTTCATCCTAATATACAGATCACAAAGTCCAAGCCTCGTTAGAAAACTCTCCTATCATTTTGATAAGATTTATAATTGCATCTATTTTATAACATCCTAATTAAGGAGCAACACCCTTGTGACTAGAATATATTAAGATCCAGGCCTCCGTACACAGCTTAGAGTAGATTAATTCATGTGCAAGGCACAGAACAAGTATCAGTTTGCAACGAGAGAAACTTATCTACACATGGTGTTTAAACCAAACCACGTGAATTTACCGCAGTTGAGAATAACTTGAGATGAGAATACACACAAATTGACTATAGTTAAGAGAGAAATGTGTATTAAAGACATATCTCATACATTCGTTGATATGGTGGAAACACAAGGTGTGCGAGTTTTCTCTGCTTGATATTATTTTAATCCATGAAATACCACCATGTACCCTCAAAAATCCAACTCTTTAATTTATGAAACCATTTCTCTTGTATGGGGGCGGGGAGGGGAAAGGTGGGGGAGATTCTTTAGGCTGTTCATGCAGAATGTATTTTGTAACATGATAGTAACTTCTGGCAAAAAAAAAGTATAAATACGAAAACCATGCCTTAGAAGGCAGTGGAGCTGGCTAAAAGTGCATTCTCATAATGCTGCTGAATCAGTTAACAAAATCGCAAGCAGAGTTTTCCAGAGTGAAGAAAACACAGACTCCATTGAAAAATTTACAGGAAAAGATGACAATTATCTACAAGCCATTCTATCGTAGCAAATAAATCATAACCAGAAAATAACAAGCTTCTGCATAAAATAGCTTCTTTGAACCTTTGTTATCTTATTTAAGATAGAAATAGGATGAACCACTAACCTGATATCTATCTTTACGGTCTTTTTAGTGATTGATCTTGACGATTATACAATCAAAGAGGCATACAACATGAAATAAATTATGTTTTTAAAGCAGCTAGATAACAGTTTTAAAGTCAAATTGCTTTAAAAAAGTACGCACAGAAGTGGCCTAGGCTAATTTTTACCTGAGTTTATTGTGAGACCAGTGTCATGATTCAGAGAAGAGTTAAAACATCTAAATCTATTCCTTTTCAAGATTGAACTATTCTTTTCTTTAAGAGGCCACCATTCTATAATGCTGAATTAATACAATTTACAAATCCAGGTTATTTCCTTCATTTAATACAGTTAACTTTTCTTTGGGATCGAAGAATTACCATCAGAACATTATTCGAGGACAAAAGAACTGCCATTCATAAAACTCTGTGTTCATTTTCTTGAATCAAATATGCAGACCAAATCAAAATATTATACAAAATACACTAAAAATCATGAAAATAAAGATGATATACCTGAGTACAGCATCAACTCAGAATATTGCATCAAGCAATATCATAACCCTAAGTACCCTTGCCTAACACAGGAGACACAAGACTCTCCATGAAAGATCTAGTTCTTTCAAACTTAGCAGTTATTCCACCAACCTTCATATCACTCCATTGATCCTCTTTCATGTTGTAAACAATCAACTTCTCTCTATCAACATTCAATACAACATCATCATCACTAATTGAACAAAATGGCACCAAACCATGCACTAAATCCAGTCCAGCAATCCTAAATTTGGTCCAAGACTCCTCAAGCCCATATTCTTTCATCATCCAAAACTCAATTTTGTTTTCTTCTGTATCATTCAACAACATACAAAGACACCCTCTAAAAGCCACAAGATCACAAAGCACAAAATTATTGTTATCAAGTGCATTCGGTACCGGCAGCTCCAAGAATTTCTCATCACATAAATAAAAAGCAACAATTACAGAGGAATAATCAGGAGATTTCCTAGCCAACCAATGCAAAGCCCCATTTACTAAAATCCCAGAACCACCAATAGGAACTCCATGATCAACAGGTAGCTGCCCATGCCTCCTCCATAGACCCATTCTAAAATTAAGCTTTCTTGGAATGGCATCAATTGTTCCATTTTGGGGGTTTTGGTTAAATGTGATAGTGTGAAGAGCCCCAGAACTAGAGACGAAAATGAGTTTCGATTCTTCTTTATGGGAATGGATGGTATGATGAAATTTGATGAATTGTGGGTCTGAGAGAAAATTGAGCCACTGTTTTGACACGCATCTAAATTGGCCTATGACTTTTGCAGGCAGCCGGGAGAGTATATCAATGATGATTTCTTGGGGTAGGTATTCAGCTTTGCTCATCGCCATGGTTGAATCTGGATTTGGAGGAGAAGCTTGGAGTCTTTGAGTATGTCAAAATTAGCATTTAATTGGAACTAAAAAAGGTTTATTAGATTTAATCAAAACTAGAAAAAGTTTTCACCTAACAGAATATTTCCTTTCAATTTATTTTGTTGGAGTTTGGATAGTGTATGATTGAACTTTGTAGTTGCAATTGAATACATGTATTAGGAAGTTATAAGTCATAGTTATTCATAAACTTACACTTTAACATATTTGAAAATTTACGACTGAAAATCTTTATTTTACTTGAAATACTCTTCAAATAACTTTTAAATATATAATAATAACTTCAATCAATATTTGCAAATACTGTAATTTTCAAACTTTAACTTGTATAGAGGTGGAGCTAAGATCATTTATGAATTCTGAATTTTAGAACAGGCAATTTATCGAGTTTAGGGTAAATTATTCATACTTACATATGTGAATTTTTAACACAAATACAATGTTCAGACGAAAGCTATTAAATTTTACGGAACCGTAATTAGAACTGTAGTTCCTCTATTTTTTCATCAAACCCACCTGTGTTAGAGGTCAAAGCTTTGAATCTTGTCCCTGTACAAATCACAAAAGATGAAAGGAGGAGGGCATTGTACCATACCTCCAATACAAATGAAGAGTTACATTCTTGTACATATGAAAATGAATTACATACTCATTTCAGCTATGTGCTATAGACATAAGTAAAGGCTATAGCCATCTATCTATAGTCAATAACAATAATACTAAAGTGTCCTGTTCTGCCCGAACTTATAGTCAGTTTTCAGGCTCATTTGCTTGAGAAATTCTTGGGTAGAGTTCAGCTAGTTTGGCGTGCATTTCGAGGCTGTTTTTACCTCAAAGAAAAAACAAACTCTCCATCTATTAGCATACTCACATAGGCAGTTAGACAAGCACTCTCCTGTCAGTTAATCGCAGTAAGAGAGTTGATTGTCTACTAATAAGCAATCTGTACCACTTTTCCAACCAAAAACAGAAATAAGTCAGGGAAGCACAATTATTTGATATGCTAACAAAACATTGCAAACCTAAAAATTTGTTTACTGAAATTCAAAGGATTATCCTTTCTTTCACAAGAGGAGAAGACTTGATGTAACACAACCTGTTAAATGAGCATACGTCGTTACACAGATCATCTATTAAAACTCAACTGAGATATGAGCGATCAACGATCAAATCTCAAGTATAAGGGTCTAATCAAAAGGGACACTTTCTCCTGACATTGCTAGTACTGCCTTTGCAGACTTCAAAATATACCAAACACAAATGCATGTCTCAATTACTACCTTTGTATGCTTCATCACATTATACAAACCACTATTAGGATTAAATATATTGAGATCCAGGCCTTTGTATACAACTCTCTTTTGATAAGGCTTTGTATACATCTCTCTTAACTTCTATTCTGCTGCAGTAGATTAATTCCTGTCCAAGGCATAGACAAAGTGTAAGTTTGCTATGAAAGAAACTTATCCATACCTGGTGTTTAAACCAAACTAAATGAGTTTAGCATAGTTGACAGTAAATTGAGTTAAAATAAACACAAATTAACCACAGTTAAGTGATAAAATGTGTATAAAAGGGATATGTCATACAATCACTGATATGGTGGAAACATCGGGTGCGTGAGTTTTTTCCATTTGCTATTATGTACATCCATGAGATACCACCATGTACCCTCAATAATCCTACTCTTTAATTAATAAGACCCTTTTCCCGTTTATGGGCAGGGAGGTAAGATTCTTTAGGCCATTTGTCCATAGACTAAATTTTGTAGCATGATAGCAACTTCTGGAAAATAAGAATAATATGAAGAAAAACATCCAGTGGCTTCGGAGTGGGATGAGCTCTTTGGTGCAGTCAGACAATCCGCGCTCCCACGTACTGACTTGGATCACTCCAATTATCCTAGAGTGTGGTTATTGGGCTAGAAATGTCTCTTATTTTAAGTTCGAAAATATGTGGTTAGAGCACCCTAATTTTGAGGAATTGGTTAGAAATTGGTGGATGCTTTTCAATATTTTGGGCAGCCCGGATTATATTTTTGCAAAGAAGCTCGAGTTATTGAAACTTCAGCTTAAAGAATGGAACAAGTCCACTTTGGTCTTTTGGAGAATAGCAAAACTTCTATACTGAGTGAAATCATGGAAATGATCAAGAAGCTGAAGAAACACCACTCTCGGATGATCTCTTACTCTCCAAAGCAAACCTACATATGGAGCTTGAGGAGATTTTCAAAATGGAAGAAATCACCTGGACACAGAAGTCTAGGTGCCTTTGGTTGAAGCAAGGGGACAACAACACTGCTTTTTCCACAAGATGGCACACTCTCATAAGAGATTCAATCATACTGACAAGCTGGAGATTGGGGAGTACTTTATGGAAACGAAGAGGTCATCAAAAAAAGAGATTCTTAGTTTTTATGAGGCATTATACAAAGAGAATGAAAACTGGAGAACAAATTGGGAATGTGTCAATGCTCCATGCATTTCCAGCGAGGAAAAGGAGTGGCTTCACAGACCTTGCCGGAAAGAGGAGATACATTGGGTCATCAAAAGTTGCGAAAGTGACAAATCGCTGGGTCCAGATTGGTTCTCAATGTGTTTCTACAAAAGGTGTTGGCTGATTCTAAAAGTTGATTTGTTGAATGCTATTAATCACTTTCATGATTGTGAATATTTTGAAAGTTTAAATTCTTCTTATACAGCTCTTATCCCTAAGAAGACTGATGCGAAGGAACTAAAAGATTATAGACCTATCAGCTTGATAGGTAGTTTCTATAAGATCTTTTCCAAAACTTTGGCGAATAGGCTTAAAAATGTGCTGCCAAGTCTTGTCAGTCCTTCTCAGATGGCTTTTCTTAGTGATAGAAACATCATAGATGCAGCCTTGATCGCCAATGAATGTTCGGATTCAAGGATGAAGTTGGGAAAGTCGAGAATAGGTTCACATAAATTGAAACGGAAGGAGTAATATATAGATTGATATGTCTTGATTCTTGAGAAAAAAATGTGAGTTGTTCATTTTAAGGGCCTTTTTTCATCGTTAGTTACTCTTATCTATGTATTGTACTGTAGATATCAATCTTAAGAGTCTCTCCACTCTCAACAATGTGGTTAGCTTCTTATGTAGCGATACCACCTGATATCTATCTTAAGAGTCTTTATAGTGATAGATCTTGCAATTATACAATCAACGAGGTAGAAAGCTTAAATTTGTTTCCTTTTTTTGAGCAGCTATCACAGCTCTACTGTCAGTATTGCTTTAAAACGGTACCCATGGGATGGCTGTGAGAAAGCACGGGAGAAAATATATTATTGATGTATTGACATATGTTACAATGAGCCCTATATATATACACACATAACATATCCTACTCCTAATATATATTGGATTAGGGTTATTTATTTACTCCTATTTACATGACTATTCTAACACTCCCCCTCAAGCTGGTGCATATAAATCATATGTACCGAGCTTGTTACATATGTAGTTAATACGAGGACCAGTGAGGGACTTGGTGAAAATATCTGCAAGCTGATCATTCGACTTCACAAACTTTGTAGCAATATCTCCCGAGAGTATCTTTTCTCTAACAAAGTGACAGTCAATCTCAATGTGTTTAGTTCTCTCATGGAACACTGGATTTGACGCAATATGAAGAGCAACTTGATTATCACACACAAGTCCCATCTGACTAATCTCACCAAATTTCAACTCCTTGAGCAACTGTTTGATCCAAATTAGCTCACATGTCGCCATAGCCATCGCTCGATATTCTGCTTCTGCACTAGACCGAGCAACCACATTCTGTTTCTTGCTCTTCCAGGACACCAAATTTCCTCCTACCAAGACACAATATCCAGACGTAGAACGTCTATCAGAAGGTGATCCTGCCCAATCGGCATCTGAGTATCCAACGATTTGCTCATGGCCTCGACCCTCAAACAATAAACCTTTGCCTGGAGCTGATTTTATATACCGAAGAATGCGAACAACTGCATCCCAATGACTATCACACGGAGAATCCATAAACTGACTCACAACACTCACAGAAAAGGAAATGTCAGGTCTTGTCACTGTAAGGTAATTTAATTTACCAACCAACCGTCTATATCTTGCAGGATCGCTAAGAGGTTCCCCCTGTCCTGGCATAAGTTTAGAATTCGGATCCATCGGAGTGTCAACCGGTCTACAACCTGTCATTCCTGTCTCTTCAAGAATATCTAAAGCATACTTTCGTTGTGAGATCACAACACCTGAGCTAGACTGAGCGACCTCAATACCCAGAAAATACTTTAGTTTGCCCAGATCCTTAGTCTGAAAGTGTTGCAAGAGATGTTGCTTCAATTTAGTAATACCATCCTGCTTTAGACTGCTTCAATTTGATTTTGGATGGGAGAGGAAGGCATCCGATTAACTAAATAACAAGCTGTGAGAACTGCATCGCCCCAAAAACGCAGCGGAACATGAGATTCAATGAGAAGTGTGCGAGCAGTCTCAATGATGTGCCTATTCTTTCTCTCAGCAACCCTATTTTGCTGAGGGGTATAAGGACAAGAGGTCTGATGAATAATTCCTTGAGAAGTCATAGCCTGCTGAAATTGAGAGGATAAATATTCTAAGGCATTATCACTGCGAAAGTGTGAATGGAAACACCAAATTGATTTTTAATTTCAGCACAAAAATTCTGGAATATAGAAAACAACTCAGAACGATCTTTCATTAAGAAAATCCAAGTACATCTTGAATGATCATCAATAAAACTAACAAAATAACGAAATCCCAAGGTTGAACTGACTCTGCTAGGACCCCATATATCAGAGTGAACTAAAGAAAAAATAGACTCTGCGTGACTCTCAATACTACGAGGATAGGAGGCTCGGGTATGTTTCCCGAGCTGACATGACTCACACTCTAATGTGGATAAACTAGACAAACCAGGCACCATCTTCTGAAGCTTGGATAAGCTTGGATGTCCTAAACGTCTGTGAATTAGGTCCGGAGGATCTGTAACTAGACATGCCTTAGAGGATTTTAGGGAGTTAAGGTAGTAAAGCCCTTCTGATTCAAGTCCTGTTCCAATCGTCTGCCCTGTACTGCGGTCCTGCATAATAAAAGAATCATCAATAAAATATATACCACAATGGAGGGCACGAGTCAAACGACTAACAGATGCAAGATTAAACGGACAGCCAGGGACATAGAGAACGGAATCTAGAGTGACAGAGGGTAGTGGATTCGCTTGTCCAACTCCTTTTGCTTTGGTTTGAGACCCATTGGCTAAAGTAACAGTGGGAAGAGACTGTGAATACGCAATATTTGACAAAAGTGATTTATTACTAGAGATATGATCAGAAGCGGCTGAGTCCACAACCCATTGTCCAGGAGGACTAGATTGGGAAACACAAGCAAAAGAATTACCAGCAACAGAAGTATTAGTCTGAGCAACAGAAGCTACTTGTGGAGATGTCTGCTTACTTGCTCGATACTGAAGGAACTCATTATACTCCCCTTCAGATAAAGAAAATCCCTGGTTACCTGTAGTCTCAGTCTGAGCAACATAAGCATTTTTGGTTGGGCGGCCATGTAAAGAATGGCATACATCACGAGTGTGTCCAAGTTTATGACAATAAGAGCACTTGGGTCTAGATCTTCCAAAACGACCTCCTCTTCGTCTATTCTCCATAGTATGAGATGTTCGATTGTCCACTGATTGGGATACGAGGACAGAGGAGTCAAGTGTCTGTGATGAGCTCACTGGGTGACTAGGTACTGCAGCAAGGCGAAGTAATCGAGAGAATAATTCATCAACTGTGGGGACGGTTGGACTAGCCAAAATCTGGTCACGTACTGGATCAAGGTCATTAGGGAGTCCAGCGAGTGTAAGAACTAGAAACATCTTCTGTCGTTGCTCTTGTTGTTTTTCAATACTAGCAGAAACTGGCATCAACGTCTCAAATTCTTCCATGACTGCCTGAACTTGTCCCAAGTAAGTAGACATATCTAATTCCTGTTTCTTCAAGCTTGTCATTCGCGATATTATATCATAGAAACGAGATATGTCATTAGTGTATAGATTACGAGCCTTTTCCCAAACTAAATAACATGTCTGGAATGGACGGAACAAGGGCATCAACTTGGAATCAATAGATCGCCACAGGATACTACATAACTGAGCATCGACCTTCTCCCACTGTGTTTTGGCCTTTTCATCACCTTCGCTAGCCTTTTTTGTTAAATGATCTTGAACTCCTTGACCTTTACACCACAACTCGACAGATGAAGCCCAATCTAAGTAGTTTGACCTCCCATTAAAGGTTCTGAGGTAATCATAACACCGGAACTGCCAGAACCCGGGTTTCTAGACCCAAAAGCATCGACTCCCAAAGACATGGTTGGATTATCACCAAATAACAAAAAGAATCAACTGAAAATTCTCTGAAACAGATGAAGAAAACACTGTGTTTGCCGGAAAAGTACTGTAGCTTCCGGAAAAATCAGTATAGTCGCCGGAAAAACTCAAAGTGGTCGGAATTGAAAAATAAAATTATGGGTAGGCTCGGAATTTGAGGGCGATCCAACTGCCCTGAAGGAACTTCGTCAAAAAATGGCCGGAAAGTGGTGCACGCGCCGGCGCGTGGTCTCACGCGCGTGAGCTTCTGGTGGCGCGTGGAGGCGCGTGGGGTACTGTTTGCCGGAGATTTTTTTGTGGGGTTTGGTCGCCGGACAGTGGCGACTCTTGTGATAGTGTTGGATTTTGCACAACACTGACAGAGACAAAGCAGACGCAAACAGGCTTGAAAAAGTCGCCGGAAAAAAAAGGGTTCCGGTGACTGATTTCTCTTCCCGGAATCGCTGGAATTTATGCACAGCGATAAATCTCTCACAATTGCTCTGATACCATGTGAGAATGCACGGGAGAAAATATATTATTGATGTATTGACATATGTTACAATGAGCCCTATATATATACACACACATAACATGTCCTACTCCTAATATATATTGGATTAGGGTTATTTATTTACTCCTATTTACATGACTATTCTAACACATGGGAATGTATTTATTATTTTGTGTTGGGATACAATGTGGAGTATAAGAACTCATAAACTAGCAATGCCTAGAAAACAATACCTAAGATGAAAATAACTCCCTTAAAGTTAAAAAGCAAGCATTTCAAAGTCGGCGTGTGCTTTAGCAACTAAAGAGAAACATCTTTTTCGATAAAAGTAGAAGTCATCAACAGTATTATGTAGTAAGAAATCGTAATAATTTTGAACTAAAATTCTTTTTTGTGAAGCTAAACTAGCTCACGTATACCAATTAGTAAAGGTATTTCTTAAAATTTGGTAAGACAGTTCCTGTATAACAATCTTTTTTTATTATGCACCACATGACAATCCTTTCATAACTTGTCCGTAAAGGTGTTTTAATGATTTTTCTCATGGATCTAACTTTTAATTTCATGGTTTTGATTCTGTAGCAAATGATAGAGAGCCTGTGAAGTCCTTGGTCCTTGGTCAGCCAGTTTTACTTGCTTTGGAAGATATTGATGGAACCCCATCATTCTTGGAGAAGGCCCTTAGGTTCATAGAAGAGCATGGTGAGCTTCTCCTCCTACTGTATCAAATTAATATGAAATTGTTGATGTCTGGATGTATTAGTTCTTCTAGATTCTGAGCTTCACATTCCTGAAATATTTCTTTCTCCTCTTAAAGGTAAGTGCAACATATTCCCTATCAGTGTTGTCAAAAGCAAAAAGCTCTAAAAGCGCTCCATGTCGATTGGGCATTAAGCCCAAAGCGCAACTAAAGTGCGGGCTTAAGTAAAAAAAGACGCAACTAAGGAAAAAAATTAAATATTCATATTGCATTTACGAGAAAAGAAACAAATTCATTCTTAATATTTTCCTTAACAACTACTCCCTCCGTTCCAATTTATGTGAACTTATTTCTTTTTTGGTCCGTTCAAAAAAAGAAGACCTCTTTCTAAATTTTGAAACTATTTAACTTAAACTTCTAGTTCTACCCTTAATGAGAAGCTTTTATAGCCACACAAATACTTTGGTATGTTTAACACCACAAGTTTTAAAAGAATTATAGCCACACAAATATTATGTCTTGTTTAGGACCACAAGTTTTAAAAGTCTTATTTCTCTCTTAAGTTCCGTGCCCAGTCAAAGAGGTTCACATAAATTGGAACTGAGGGAGTAATAAACTTATTTGCCGATAATATTTGTTGTTTAGTACCACTCGATTCAAGATAGAGCCCATTGGCAATGAGGCGCACGCCTTAGTGCCTTGCATGTACTAGAGTGCAGCATAAGCGAGGCGAAGCACCCTCCCTAAGCTTTTCGAGCTTCAGGGCTTAAACGCACCTTAAATGAGCCTTTGACAACAATGTTCCCTATTAATATCTTCTGTTCTGTTGAGGTCTTGCTCTAAGAATGGATTAACAATGTACAAGAAGAGCTCATCACTTACGAGTCTTAGCAATAGTATGGTAACCAATTATTTCCTACTCCTAATATGGTTAGCAGATATTTTACTACTAATATAGAGAATATGTAGAATATTCTACTACTAATTACAGTGTATATACAGAACATTTTATGATATCTTAAAAAAAAAATTCTAACGAATCTGGTCAATATTATTAGACTCCCAAAATGGAGTATTGTGATCTTAGACTCTAAGTTTGCCACCACATATATTTGATCCTTGATCCTTAGACTGCTTTCAGTGAATTTGTTTGCCAAGTGATTGTTTGAGCCAACAAAACTAGAGGAGATAAGTTTTGTATTTTATAAATAAAATGACAATCAATCTATAAGTTGGTCCTCTCATGAATATTAGATCAAGAGCAACAAGTGCAATGCTTATTGCAGCTTTGTTGACACAAATCAATTTAGTTTGCGTTGCCTCTCTGAAGTTAACTCCTCAAATAAATGTTATAGTTATATAAGTTCACATGTTGCCGGAGCTATGGCTCTATGGAGTTAACATGTGTACTTGACATGAGAACCATATCTTGATTCTTACCTTTTCTAGAAAAATTCCATGAATGTGATTGATAGGACTAGCATTTGTAGGTTGTATTTGACCCAAAGTACCATAAATGAATTTACTTGGGTGGTTGGATTCATCCTTGGGAGGAAGTCCCTCTTTTGGAACCAAGCCCTAACTCAAAGACTCAATACCCAAACTTGCTCTATTCATATGTGTTGGCTGACCGGGCCTTTCACACGTTACCGACATGACACGAGAATATTGCGCGGCCTGGTGGCAGGCCAAGGAATGGCTTTTGCGATACTCACGCAACAAGGCGTAGCTGTTCTTCCTCACTCTTTCCCAACCTCACCTAAATAACATTTGCGTGTTAGCTGCGTTGCGCGAGCACACTTTTTCTCGTGCAATTCTGGGGACGCAACACCAATACTCGCCCCTGCCCTGCCTTCCGTCTTGGCCTTTGCGTTACTCACACGATTTCTCCCTACTGCACCGCTTGGTCCATTGCTAGGCCTAGCAACATCATGGTTCACGCTAACTTTCTTGATGCGAGGTTATGGCGTGAACCTATTTTTCGGCTACTTATAACCTTTGCTCGTTACTTGCATTTATCGTCAGTGAAGCGAAGGATCCTTGTGTTCGAATCCTTGTCTAACTCCAAAAACTTTCCTTTTGGATACCATACCACTTCAAGACAACTCCAAACCATTTAAGGCACACATCATGATTTTGAACCTTAGTGCAAACAAAGGTCTGTTATTTAAGTGGAGAAGAGTAGAGGGGCAATGCCTATTGTCCATCGAAATTCAAACCTTGTGCCACTGGCCATTGGGGATTGGTGATAAAAAAAGACAATTTATTGGAGACTCTTGTGATCTGTGTACACTTCAAAATGTACACCATACAAGTAGTGACGCCAAATTTTAAGGCGATCACCACCGTGGCTAATTCCAAATCACAATGGGTAGTTCTGTTCATGGTTCTTCAATAGCCTTGTAGCATAGGCAATGACCTTACCATTTTGCACCAATACACATCCCAACCCAACTGTCCGAGCATCACCATGCACGGCGAGACCACCCGAACCTGTCGGCAAGGTTAACACCGGTGATGTAGTCACAACTCTTAGACACTCTTTTCACCAGTGTCGAACCACTGTAACTTTACCTCTTTCTTCGTTGTCAACCTTATCAATGACGCAACAAGAGTAAAAAAACCCTTAAATGAACCTATAATACCTGGCCAATTCCGTGAAACTCTGAATTTTTGTTGGTATCGTCGGTCTTAGTCAACTCTGGACTGCTTCACTTTCTATGGACAGGGGCCGGTGTACAGTTTGAAGTACGGGTTTGATAGAGCTCAGTAGCTTAAAACCTGTATTTGTCTTAAGAAATACATTTACTATGTACAAATTATTAATTTAGGAACCATTAACTCAAAATGGCTAAAATCGGAACCCATAACTTAAAATTCCGGATCCAGCTCTCTCCATGGATCGACTTTAATACCTCCACTTGCAACAATATGGCCCAAGAATGGCACTACCTCGAGCCAAAACTTACACTTAGAGAATCTAGCATACAACTTACACTCCCTAAGTGCTTGGAAAGTCATTCTGCAAGTTGTTTTCTTTCTCAACATATCACCAAGTCATTTCCAACACTTATGTTACCATCCCGAACACATTTCAACATCATACACACTCATCTGCACTATCCATCTAATTTAGAACTGAGCATAATTTAAGCTTAAACAAGTTCAAAGTTTTAGGGGGCAGTACAGGTTCATAGAATAGATGTTCCATTGGATAAATACATGTGTATTTTGTTTGACACATAAATAGGTGTCTTGTATTAATCAGGTCATTACTACGCCTTTTCTGCTCTTCATTCTCACAGAACCAATGTTCCTGTGAACCATGAGGAACAAAAATTGATTCTTCCCGTTTATTGTGGTCGCTGAGAAGGTATAACTCAGCTCAGTATGCATTTTATCCTTGTTCATGAACTAGTTGAGGAAAAAAGAGTCAGTTCTCTTTATGAAGATGTTAAAGGAGATTGAATCATTTTAAAGACAATAATTTTTAAAAGTTTAATGCATCATCATCTGTCTGTTAAAGAAAATGACTAATGTCTGCACTTACAATGTCTTTCGGAAAATCCTACCTACGCTCTATAAGAACTTCCTACTCATTTCTTAAATTCCTTTTTCCTCCCTGCTTGTTGTTGACCTACATCTGATCAGTTTGTTGCTCCTAATTATAGATTTATGGCAATTTTTTTCTAGAAAGTGAAGTGATTGGAACTAATGAATTCAAATAGGTAAATTACATGTACATATATAAAACAGTGAATGGAGTTATCAGTGAGTTGCTTCTTAAACAATAAATTAGGAAGCTATTCTGAGACCCTTTTACTTTGACATTTTCTGGAACTCGGATTACATTATTTTGTGATGTCAAGGATTATAAATAAAGCATTTACTTCAACCAGAAGATGAACTAGGTACATCCTCTCTGTGCTTTGGTGTTCTATGTGCAGTATTTCTGGGTACACATATGCCAAAGTTCTATTGAGCTATAATCTTCAACTAATGCTTCTCGTTAGTTGTAAAGTTTATTTAGTTATTTAATGTCTGTGAGTTCTCATTTCATGGTGCTGATTTTACAATATATTCCAGGAGTGAGAGTTGAAGGAATCTTGCGGCAAGCGGCAGATGTTGAAAATGTCGAACGTCGAATACGGGAATATGAACAGGGTATGTTTACTGCAATTCAGTTTCTTTCCTCTTTAATCTTCTATTTGCCAGTATACCATACCTATCTTGTTCAATGTTTGTGTTGTGGTCACTTAATGTTTGCCAAAATGTGTTTACCTTGGAATTGAGGATGTTATATAGTTATGTGTAAATAGTCCTAGTCTCATATGTAGTAGGAGTAGAATGTGTCCTAGTCCTATATGTAGTAGGAGTAGAATTTGTATTATATATGGTAAGTAGTTAGTCATGTATAGTGTCCCACATCGGGAAGTAGATACCTATTATTATGTAATCGCTGTATATAAATAGGGTTGTACAACACTTTAATTAATAATAAGATTTTTCTCTCCTGCATTCTCACATGGTATCAGAGCTAGCGTGAAAGATTCATCGCTGTGAAAAAAAAAAAATATCAACGACTCCGGGAAAGAAAAAAAAAACAGTCACTGCGCTAATTCCGGTGGCTGTCCGGCATCAGTCCTTTTTCTGTTGGTGTTGTGTAAAAACCAACACTACCACAAGGTTAAGAATCCTCCGGCGAGCAAACTCCAGCAAGAATCTCCGGCAAAAGAGATCTCACGCGCTCACACGTGCCTTCAGAAGCGAAGGATCGGCCGGCGCGTCTGTCCCACGCGCCGGCACGTGCAGCTATTTCCGGCCATTTTCCGGCAGACTTTCTTGAGGAAAGTTTGGTCGCGAGGTGTTTCCGAGTCTACCCATCCAGGTTACACCAAAATCCGACGACTTTATTATTTTTCTGGCGTGAACAGTGGGTTTCCGGCGAGAACAGTAATTCCAGAATAATTTGTGCTTTTTCCAGTGCAATATTATAATGGCATTCGTATCAGAAGCCTTTAACTGACAATCCGTTGGATCCAATACATTGAATTCAATCCAGATGGTTTCTTTACCGGATTATATTGAGTTCCTTCGGTACAAAGCATGTAAACAGACATCTTCAGGGATAGCTTCTGTTGTTCAAACAAATAGTAGCGTGACTTGTGTCTCCCAATCTTCAACCTCTGAGTCTTGGGTCATTGATTCAGGTGCATCTGATCATATTTCTGGTAACAAATCTCTTTTCACTAGTATTTCGTATTCTCAATCTCTTCCAACAGTCACAATGGACAACGGGTCTCAAACTATGGCAACTGCAATAGGTCAAGCAAGCCCACTTCCTTCCTTACCTTTAGATTCAGTTCTTTATGTTCCCAATAGTCCTTTTAATCTCATAGCCACTAGTCGTGTAGCCAAATCACTTAAATGCGCTGTTTTATTTCTTGATGACCTTGTTTTTTATACAGGAACGCAGTACGGGGCGGATCATCGGTACCGGGCGTGAATCAAATGGACTTTATTACTTTATCCTTGCAAAATCACATGGACTCACATCTTGTCTTCCTTCAATAACATGTCTTGTTACCGATTCACCAGATTTATTACATAAACGGTTAGGACATCCCAGTTTGTCAAAACTTCAGAAAATGGTACCTGGTTTATCTCACTTATCCACTTTAGAGTGTGAATCATGTCAACTCGGTAAGCATACCCGCTCCCATTTTCCTCGGCGTCTTGATAATCGAGCAGTCACCTTTCACTTTAGTCTGTTTAGATGTTTGGGTCCTACTCGAGTCAGTTCTACCTAGGGATTCCGCTACTTTGTCAGTTTCATTGATGATTATTGTGCACTTAGATATTTTTGATGAAAAATCGGTCTGAGTTATTTTCTATTTTCCAGACCTTCCACACTGAAATTCAAAATTAATTTGGGGTTTCTATTCGCACATTTCGTAGTGATAATGCCCTAGAGTATTTGTCTTCCCCATTTCAGCAATTTATGAACTCTCATGGGATTATTCATCAAACATCTTGTCCGTACACATTTCAACAAAATGGGGTAGCTGAAAGAAAGAATAGACATCTTATTGAAACTGCTCGTACCCTGCTCATACAATCTCATGTTCTGTTGCGTCTTTGGGGAAATGCAGTTCTTACATCTTGCTATCTTATTAATCGTATGCCATCTTCAGCTATCTAGAATCAAGTTCCATTCTCTGTCCTGTTTTCCCACTTACCTTTTCTCTTCCCCCCGTGTCTTTGGAAGCACGTGTTTTGCTCATAACCTTACTCCAGGAAAAGATAAGTTAGCTCCTCGTGTTCTTAAGTGCGTATTTCTGGGTTACTCGAGAACGCAAAAGTGGTATCGATGCTATTCTCCTCACCTCCAACGGTACCTTATGTCCGCTGATGTTACCTTCTTTGAAACCCAATCATACTTCACAGGTCTAGGTAATCACTTAGATATTTCTGAGGTGCTACCAGTTTCATCTTTTGGAGATTCAGTCACTATCTCCCATTCATCTTCCTCTACAACTCCAGCTCCACCACCTACAGCTCCAGTTGCAGCTCCACTACCTATAGCTCCAGTTCCACCGCCTAGTCCAGTTCAACCTTCTGCAGCTCCAACAATCTTGACTTATCATCATCGTCCACGTCCAGGCTCAGGTGATTCACGTCCTGCATCAGATTCTGCACCTACTGTGGACTTGTCTCCTCTTAGTCAACCAATTGCACTCTGCAAAGGTGTATTATCCACCTTAATCCTAATCCCTATTATGTCAGTTTAAGTTGTCATCATCTGTCATCACCTTAATTATGCTTTTATATCATCTTTGTCCACTGTCTCTATCCCTAAGTCTACAGGTGAGGCATTATCTCATCCAGGATGGAGACAGGCTATGATTGAGGAGATGTCTCCTTTACATGCGAGTGGCACTTGGGAGCTTGTTCATCTTCCTTCAGGTAAGTCTACTGTTGGTTGTCGTTGGGTATATGCGGTCAAAGTCGGCCCGGATGGCCAAGTTGATCGGCTTAAGGCTCGTCTTGTTGCAAAAGGATACACTTAGATTTTTCGGCTTGATTATAGTGACACTTTCTCTCCCGCGGCTAAAGTAGCATCTGTTCGTCTCTTTTTTGTCCATGGCTGCTGTACGTCATTGGCCTCTTTATCAGTTAGACATTAAGAATGCTTTTCTCCATGGTGATCTTGAGGAAGAAGTTTATATGGATCAACCACCTAGTTTTGTTGCTCGGGGGAGTCTAGTGGTCTTGTATGCCGATTGCGCAGGTCACTCTATGGTTTGAAACAGTCTCCCCGAGCTTGGTTTGGTAAGTTTAGCACAGTTATTCAGGAGTTCGGCACGACTCGTAGTGAAGCTGATCACTCTGTGTTTTATAGGCATTCTACTCCTAATCTGTGTATTTATCTGGTGGTTTATGTTGATGATATTGTTATTACTGGCAATGATCAGGATGGTATTACTAATCTGAAGCAGCATCTCTTTCAGCACTTCCAGACTAAGGATCTAGGCAGACGGAAGTATTTTCTAGGTATTGAGGTCGCTCAGTCTAGCTTAGGTATTGTGATTTCACAGCGGAAGTATACCTTAGACATTCTTGAGGAGACTGGAATGATGGGCTGTAGACATGTTGACACTCATATGGATCCGAATGCTAAGCTTCTTCCTGGACACGGGGAGCCTCTTAGAGATCCTACGAGATATAGGAGGTTGGTTGGCAAATTGAATTACCTCACAGTGACTGGACCAGATATTTCTTTTCCGGTGAGTGTTGTAAGTCAGTTTATGGATTCTCCCCGTGATAGTCACTAGGATGCAGTTGTTCGCATTCTTCGGTATATAAAGTCAGCTCCAGGCAAAGGGTTACTATTCGAGGATCGAGGCCACGAGCAGATTGTTGGGTACACAGATGCTGATTAGGCAGGATCACCTTCTGATAGACGTTCTACGTCTGGTTATTGTGTTCTAGTAGGAGGTAATTTGGTCTCTTAGAAGAGGAAGAAACGGAATGTAGTTGCTCGATCTAGCGCCGAAGACGAATATCGGGCCATGGCTATGGCAACGTGTGAGCTGGTTTGGGTCAAGCAGTTGCTCAAGGAATTGAAGTTCGGAGAAATCAACAAGATGGAACTGGTGTGTGATAATCAAGCTGCTCTTTATATTGCGTCAAATCCAGTGTTCCATGAGAGGACTAAACACATTGAGGTCGACTGTCACTTTGTCAGAGAAAAGATAGTATCAAGAGTTATTGTTACAAAGTTTTTAAAGTCGAATGATCAGCTAGCAGATATTTTCACTAAGTCTCTTACTGGTTCTCGTATTAGTTACATCTGTAACAACCTCGATATATATGATTTATATGCACCGGCTTGAGGGGGAGTGTTAAGTAGTTAGTCATGTATAGTGTCCCACATCGGGAAGTAGATACCTATTATTATGTAATCACTGTATATAAATAGGGTTGTACAACATTTTAATTAATATTAAGATTTTTCTCTCGTGCATTCTCACTATATATAGGGATCATTGTATCATTGTTAATAAATAGATTTTTCTCCCGTACATTCTCACATGGTATCAAGGGTTCAGTGAGAAAATTATCGTTGTGCGTCATTCCAACGACATCCGGGAAGAAAGATCTCACCGCCGTGCAATTTTCGACAACTTCATCTTGTTCCAGGGTTCATCACTACTGTAGTGGTACTTTGCATATACCAGTACCGCCATCAAATCCGAAACCCTTATGCGACCAAACCCCAAAAATTCTAGTCCCATCGAAACAAAAAATGCCGGTCAATGTGCGTCTTTCCGGTTGACGACTCAAGATTGATTTGCATTATCTCGTCATCGGTAAGTGTTGTGCGAAACCAACACTACCATCTTATTTGAAAAAGTCAGGCCACAAAACCCCACTCATTCGCTCAGGCAGAAAGTCCCTCACGCGCCTCAAAGTGTCGCCCGAACTAGGGTTCCTGCTAGCTACAGTAACTTTTCCAGCGCGTGTGAACCATTCCGGCTATTTTTTGACAAAACTTCTTCAGGACAACTTACTCGTCCAGTGATTCCGAGCCTACCCATATAAATTACATTAAATTCTGACAACCTTTATTTTTTCCGACGTGAACAGTGCACTTTTTTCAG